CGTATGGGCCTACCCCCTTCTGATGTTCCTCATTTTTTATTTTCTTATTTTCTTATTTTTCCTCGCATCAAGATAGACCCAAACTGCCCTGTTTTCTCATCAATTTTTTTTGAGAGCTTTACGTTTTTGTATCCATTCATAGATAAGGAAATACCCAAAAATTTATAAATAGGTAATGTTTTTAAAATACCCAAGAATGTAATTGATAATTTTTTAAAGTTGTTTTGGAACCTTTTTTATAACCCAAAAAAGGGGCAACCACCCTTTATTCAACAAAAAATATGTGGTTTTCCCTTCCATGAAAACTTGGTTGAAGCCTTCTCTTCTTAAGACTTTTAATATTAATTTTGTATTAAAAAACCCTTGATACGTAAAAAACTTTTGATTAAGAATTCCCCAAAAAATGCTGATGGGATGTGTCTATAAGATTCCTTAAAATTGCGATAAATTTTATTACGGTCAAAACTGTAAAAAATCTCGAACAAATTAAAACAACAAAAATAGCTTTAAACTGGACAAATTCCAAGCTCTATTTATTCATGTAAGAGTTTTAAAACCACCTTTTGTTTAAAAAGTTGAGAAAAGTATAAGCAAGTCCATGGTCGACAGGAATATATTGAATCTTGTTTCAAAAAACAGTTTTGACAATAATATGAATTTTCCTTTGGTTTATATAAATTAATCCTTAAAAATTAATAGTTTTTTGGTAGAATTTAAAAATACACTGGAAAAAATAAATAGCTTGGGGGGGGTTTTTTCAAAAAGGGCCTATCCAAGTTTGGGTCGCCGCCGCACGTGTTTTAAAAACCCTTGTGGGATCTGAAAGTGAGGTTTCTGCCCACCCCTTATATACTTCCTTGGATCTTCACTTTCATAGTTCCTTTAAATTGATAGTCACAAAGGCTTGGAATTTTTCTTTTCTTTCAGAGTGGTTGTTTTGGGGATATTTTGAAACACCTGTTTACTGTGACTTATTCATTATTTATTATAATTTTATATATAATATATATATTATATATATTATATAAAAATATATAATATATATTATAATATATATATATATTAAATATTATTTAAATTTAAAATATATATATATAAATTTTATAATATATATAAAATATATTATATATATGTCGTGCCAATATGTAAAAAAGAAAGAGCAAGAACTCATTTTTTAAAATTTAATCCTTTCTGAAAATTTTCCTAATACTTTAAAGAACATTTTTTTTTCTTTAAAGTTAAAGAAAAATTTTAATTTCGCTACAAAAGAATCTTAGAAAACTTACCTAACCTTTTTATAAAAAGAACAATTTAAAATTTTTCCTAACCCAACAAAAAATTATTTTAATTTGTTTACAATAATCTAATACAAACTAAACACAGTAAATTATTTTATTTCGTTTTGGCAAAGATTTTTGGGGAAATTATTTTCATACACAAATTTTTCTCCCCTTTTCCTATAGGCAAAATGGCGTTGCTTTAAGCCAAGATCGCAATTTTTTTGCCTTTTGGGGACGACATATAATATTATAATATATAAAAATAAATTTTTTAAATTTTTAATAAATAATAAATATATTATATATATAAATTTTTATATATATCAATAAAAAAAACACTGCGCTAGCCAAGGTTTGAACCCATGTTGTACGGGGCCTGCCTATGGTAAGCGAAACCACATGTCGCTTTAAAACCCAGGACCACCTAACCCCAAAATGGCGCAATGTATCTGAAACCTTTCATGTTCTTGAAGAAAAAAGGACACCAGCAATCTTCCATCAGTAAACAATTATAGGGTTTCGTTTTAACATACTTGGCAGGCGGTAACCTCCCTGGGTTTTTTGCTGTCACCAAGTACTCTCAGAATATATATATTATATATAATTATATTTTATATAATTTTTTATATATTATTATATTATATATAAAATATAATATATAAAATTTCATAATACAAACACATATATATATATATAAAAATATATATATATATATATATATATATATTTAATAAATATATAATATTATTATAAATAAAAAATATATTACATCATACATATTTAGGTAGTAGGTTTTAGACAGCAACCACCAGGGAGGTACTACCGTCCTGCCAATGAGTTAAAACGAAAGCCTGTAATTTTTTACATGATGGTAAAGGTTGCGGGGTCCATTTTTCTGTCTATGAAATGCAAATTTCAGGTACGTCTTGCTCTTCACTTACATTAGGTCCCAAAAACAAACTTGACAAACATAATATACACACCCTTTGGGTTTTTTTTTCTATTTTCTTTCTAGTTCTTTCTTGTTTATTTTTCTTATCTCCATGGGAAGTGGGAAAAGAAATTTTTCCTCCCTAAGCCCTGCTTGTTTTAAGAGGGAAAAAATGCCGGGACAAGGGGGTAGTAAAACCCCTTTCTCCCATATAAATTACTAAATTTAAAAGAAAACTTTCTTTTTTTTTTTTTGGGCCACCCTGCCTCGGGGGGAAATTTTGGGCCCATGTGTTGAAAAAAGAAAGAAAATATATATTGTTATATATATATATATATATTATATGTAATATAATAATTTTTTATATATAAATTATTAAAAAAATATATATATATATTTAAAAATATATAATATTATATATATATATATAATATAATATATATTTTAAAAAAGTCGGCCCTCCCACCGAGGCAGGGGGACCCAAAAAAAAAAAAAGAAAATTCCCAAAAAGAAAATACTTTCATCACATTCAAAATTTCCCCAACAACATATACGCTTTTGCGGGTCTCAGAATACAACAGTTTTGAAGCATAACTAAAAAAGAACACAACATATCCCTCCAAACTGCCAATATTCCAAACCCCTCCTTTAAAGTGCAGGCCTTGTACTTACCTTTTCCAGGACTAAAATCCGACTATATGAAAATAACCCGGGTTTTTCCCGAATCCCTTCGCTAAATATTACCCCGCTCACACTCCAACAGATCGCAGGTCCCAAGTATCATTCGTCTCCAATCACTCCTATCTAACACGTCATGCACGCTTGCGGAAAAATCCCCAAACCCTCGCCCACAAAAACCCCTTTTCCCCCCTCTTTCCAAAACCCCTTTGAGGACGACCCCTACCCCTTTTCCTTCCCCCATAGATTTAAAAGCTCTCCATTCATTCTACTTTTTATCCATTTTCTCTAAATGACCAAACCACCTCAACAAACCCCCCTTCGCCCTCTGATAATACTTTTTTATTTTTCTCCACACCTTTACCCAATTTCCCACTCCGAATTTTTTTACATAAAATTTCACCCACATTCCCTTAGACAGGCATCCCACTGCCTCCAACCTTCTCCTCGCTGCCCGCATTTTCCACCCAAACTTCACTCCATAAAGAAGGGGTTGGACTACTATAAATTTTATACATTCCCTTCTTTGCATCCATAGATAAGTTTTTTTTACTCCACTAACCCCAACGCACCACTCACCTTTTTTCCCCCATCAATTTTAGATTAACCTCATCCCTTCTAAATCCATCCAAATATATATATATATATTATAATATTTTATTTTTTATATTAATATATAAATATATAATATATATATATATAATATATTATATTTATATATATATGGTAAAAACCTGGAATAAAACCGACAAGTTGGTTTTAAAAGCCGTAACAAACACTATAACATATTTATTAGAAAAGTTTTTGGTCCCGGGGCCCTTTTCACTTCTAACATACAAAGGGAGAAAAACATTATTATATAGGGGAGAGTGGTGGCGCATGACCTGAGGAATGTCATAAGAATAAGAATGGGGGAACACTGTAAAGCCTACGGGCCCATGCGAGGGAGGTCCTTATCAAAAAACCTCTGTCTAGATGGGACCAGTAACGATGAAATCATGTACTCCCGTGCACACAAAACAACCCCTCTGAAAGAAAGAAAATTCCAAGCGCTTTTGTGATACTACATTACAAGGAACTATGAAAGTAAAGCATCCAAGGAAGCATATAAGGGTCGGGCCGGGACCTCAATCAATCCCGAACGGTTTAAACACCTGCGCGCGCCGACCCAACTTGGATAGGTCCTGGCACAACTCACCCCAAAACTATTCTCCCAAAAAATAAGAAATTTTAACGATTATTTGTCCTGTATTATTAAAATTTCCCAAATTCTATTAATTTTAAATGGATCTAATTTATATAAACCAAAGGAAATATTCATATTATTGTCAAAACTGCTTTTTATGAAACAAGATTCAATTATATTCCTGTCGACCAGGGAAACTTGCTTGATACTGCTTTCTCAATTTTTTGAAAATCAATTGGATGGTTAAAATCTCTTACATGAATATATATATTGCATTTTATATAATATATATATATATATATATATATATATATATATATAAATTATTATATATAAAATGTATATATATATATATATATATATATATATTATAATAATATATAATATATATATATATATATATATATATATATATATATATATGTGTGTGGGGTGTGTGTGTGTGTGTGTATGTGTGTGTGTGTGTATGTTTGTGTGTGTGTGTGTGTAAGAGTGATTAGGCTGCAATCTACCGATTTCTTGAGCGTTGTGTTATTGATAATAACTGCAACGAAAGAGGGTTTATGATAATACTTTTCACTCATTGTGTGATCTTAACCCAGTATTTACTATCAGCATTTCTTACCATGAGTATTGGTTTTGAATCATTTTGTTTTCATGTTTGTAAAGCTGATACCAGTGATGATACAAGGTAGAACCAACAGTGATGATACAAGGTAGAACCAACAGTGATGATACAAGGTAGAACCAACAGTGATGATACAAGGTAGAACCAAGAAATAATGATTAAGAATATGAAGAGTTATAAAAAAAAGGTGAAAAAAATTATCATTGCAAATAAAAAAGTTCTTTGGTTCATTAAAACTAGAGAAGGAATAAAAAAAATAACAGGGGAGCAGATTACGAAAATAACACGAAAACTCACTTGGGAATTACGTAATGCATATTGATGACATTATACATCAACTGACTGAGTGTGCTGATTATTCTACCAATGAAGGTAAGAGGGTAGCCTAGGTCCAGTAAGTAATTGCCCTCTATGGAAGGGAACTTTGGGTTGCCTGCCAGGTCACTCATGGATTCATGCAGCATGTTTGGAGACACGTGAACATAGGGAACCTGGAAAATACATTAGCAAACTGGTGACTGTGATGAATGATCGATAGACATCTTTTCCTCAATAGTTCTTTTATTCTTAGTTATCTTTTTTCATGATTTGTAATATAAATATATTTAAATCAATATCTTAAGTGTTTCCTATAATTCAGCTTAAGTCACTTAAACAAACGGATAGGATGGATTTTTTTATGTCTGTATTCTGAGCTAAACTGTACTGAATTACTGAACCTACATTACCTTCAAGGAGATTCTCTATTGGTCCACAAATTGTATCTGAGGTGAATGAAATCCAACCCTTAGACCCCATTTTAGCATTATTTTAGCACTATTTTAGCACTATAATTAACTGGCATCGCTTGCTTATTCACTGCTTGTTTAGGTTCAGCGTATTTCATTAAAATTATGTATTTAGTCGATTGTAACAATGCTCTTCCCAATTAACTTAATTTTTTCAATTCTTCTTACACAAAGGGAATTATTTCTGATGTTTAGTTGGCTCATCTGAAAACCTGGTTTAAATTTAAGTCATTATTTTCGTCTCAGATAATTAGTCCTATTCAACTTTGCAAAAACAATTGACAGTTATCGAAGATGAGGAAATAGGTTTACAACTTTTTAGTGGTCTCCGGTTTTGCTCTATTTACGTCTCATTGTATCCCAGTCTTCTAGACAGCACTGCATTATTCATTGTATCCCAGTCTTCTAGGCAGCACTGCATTATTCATTGTATCCCAGTCTTCTAGGCAGCACTGCATTATTCATTGTATCCCAGTCTTCTAGACATCACTGCATTATTCATTGCATCCCAGTCTTCTAGACATCACTGCATTATTCATTGTATCCCAGTCTTCTAGACATCACTGCATTATTCATTGTATCCCAGTCTTCTAGACATCACTGCATTATTCATTGTATCCCAGTCTTCTAGACAGCACTGCATTATTCATTGTATCCCAGTCTTCTAGACATCACTGCATTATTCATTGTATCCCAGTCTTCTAGACATCACTGCATTATTCATTGTATCCCAGTCTTCTAGACAGCACTGCATTATTCATTGTATCCCAGTCTTCTAGACATCACTGCATTATTCATTGTATCCCAGTCTTCTAGACAGCACTGCATTATTCATTGTATCCCAGTCTTCTAGACAGCACTGCATTATTCATTGTATCCCAGTATTCTAGACAGCACAGCATTATTCATTGTATCCCAGTCTTCTAGATAGCACTGCATTATTCATTGTATCCCAGTCTTCTAGACAGCACTGCATTATTAATTGTATCCCAGTCTACTAGGCAGCACTGCATTATTCATTGTATCCCAGTCTTCTAGACAGCACTGCATTATTCATTGTATCACAGTCTTCTAGGCAGCACTGCATTATTCATTGTATCCCAGTCTTCTAGACAGCACTGCATTATTCATTGTGTCCCAGTTTTCTAAGCAGCATTGCATTATTCATTGTCTCCCAGTCTTCTAGACATCACTGCACTATTCATTGTATCCCAGTCTTCTAGACAGCACTGCATTATTCATTGTATCCCAGTCTTCTAGACATCACTGCATTATTCATTGTCTCCCAGACTTCTAGACATCACTGCATTATTCATTGTATCCCAGTCTTCTAGACAGCACTGCATTATTCATTGTATCCCAGTCTTCTAGCCATCACTGCATTATTCATTGTATCCCAGTCTTCTAGACAGCACTGCATTATTCGTTGTATCCCAGTCTTCTAGACAGCACTGCATTATTCATTGTATCCCAGTCTTCTAGACATCACTGCATTATTCATTGTATCCCAGTCTTCTAGACATCACTGCATTATTCATTGTATCCCAGTCTTCTAGACAGCACTGCATTATTCATTGTATCCCAGTCTTCTAGACAGCACTGCATTATTCATTGTATCCCAGTCTTCTAGACAGCACTGCATTATTCATTGTATCCCAGTCTTCTAGCCATCACTGCATTATTCATTGTATCCCAGTCTTCTAGACAGCACTGCATTATTCGTTGTATCCCGGTCTTCTAGACATCACTGCATTATTCGTTGTATCCCAGTCTTCTAAACATCACTACATTATTCATTGTATCCCAGTCTTCTAGACATCACTACATTATTCATTGTATCCCAGTCTTCTAGCTATCACTGCATTATTCATTGTATCCCAGTCTTCTAAACATCACTACATTATTCATTGTATCCCAGTCTTCTAAACATCACTACATTATTCATTGTATCCCAGTCTTCTAGCTATCACTGCATTATTCATTGTATCCCAGTCTTCTAGACAGCACTGCATTATTCATTGTCTCCCAGTCTTCTAAACATCACTACATTATTCATTGTATCCCAGTCTTCTAGACATCACCGCATTATTCATTGTCTCCCAGTCTTCTAGACAGCTCTGCATTATTCATTGTCTCCTAGTCTTATAGACTTCACTGCATTATTCATTGTATCCCAGTCTTCTAGACAGCACTGCATTATTCATTGTCTCCCAGTCTTCTAGACATCACTGCATTATTCATTGTCTCCCAGTCTTCTAGACATCACTGCATTATTCATTGTCTCCCAGTCTTCTAGCCATCACTGCATTATTCATTGTATCCCAGTCTTCTAGACATCACTGCATTATTCATTGTCTCCTAGTCTCCTAGACTTCACTGCATTATTCATTGTATCCCAGTCTTCTAGACATCACTGCATTATTCATTGTCTCCCAGTCTTCTAGACATCACTGCATTATTCATTGTCTCCTAGTCTCCTAGACTTCACTGCATTATTCATTGTATCCCAGTCTTCTAGACATCACTGCATTATTCATTGTATCCCAGTCTTCTAGACATCACTGCATTATTCATTGTCTCCTAGTCTCCTAGACTTCACTGCATTATTCATTGTCTCCCAGTCTTCTAAACATCACTGCATCATTCATTGTCTATCAGTCTTCTAGACATCACTGCATTATTTATTGTCTCCCAGTCTTCTAGACAGCACTGCATTATTCATTGTCTCCTAGTCTCCTAGACTTCACTGCATTATTCATTGTTTCCCAGTCTTCTAGAAAGCACTGCATTATTCATTGTATCCCAGTCTTCTAGACATCACTGCATTATTCATTGTCTCCCAGTCTTCTAGACATCACTGCATTATTCATTTTCTCCCAGTCTTCTAGCCATCACTGCATTATTCATTGTATCCCAGTCTTCTAGACAGCACTGCATTATTCATTGTATCCCAGTCTTCTAGACATCACTGCATTATTCATTGTCTCCCAGTCTTCTAGACAGCACTGCATTATTCATTGTCTCCCAGTCTTCTAGACAGCACTGCATTATTCATTGTATCAAAGTCTTCTAGGCAGCACTGCATTATTCATTGTACCCCGTCTTCTAGACAGCATGCATTATTCTGTATCCCAGTCTTCTAACAGCACTGCATTTTTCATTGTTTCCCGTCTTCTAGATAGCATGCATTATTCATTGTACCCCGTCTTGGTAAATGGTTTGGAAAAAACCGAAAATTGAAGATTGAGAATTTAGCAGCAAGGGGAATCTTTATTCGGGAAAATTTGCCACACGTGGTTCATCAGTCCAACGAAGGGAAGGCTTTAAGGAAGGAGGGAGTGTGAGGTAATCAGCCCCTCAACCTGGAGTCGATGTGTTCATCCATCAATCTTGAGAATGTACTTCTACAAGGTTGATGGTCAAAACACATCGACCCCCAGGCTGAGGGATGATTACCTCACACCCTCCTCTCCCTTTTGCCCTTCCTCTTTTTATTGGGCTGATGAAGCCCGTTTTTTTCGAAAAAGTTTCCCGAATAAAGATTCCATTTGCGCTAATGTACCCAGTCTTCTAGACAAACACTGTTTTTTCTTGTATCCCAGTCTTCTAGCATCACTTTTATTATTCATTGCATCCCAGTCTTCTAGGCAGCCTGTTATTCATTGTTCAAAGTCTTTACGCAGCACTGCTTTTTCTTTCTCCCGTTTCTAGACAGCACTGATTATTCTTTTTACAAAAACTTTTAGGCAGCACTGTTATTCATTGTTATCCATCTTTAGCAACTTTATTCATTGTCCCCCAGTCTTCTAGACAACCTGCATTATTCATTGTATCCCAGTCTTCTAGCAAAACTCATTTTACTGTATCCCGCTTCTGAAGCACTGCTTTTCATTGTCTCACAGCTTCTAGACGTCACGATTATTCATTTTTACCATCTTCTCCACTGCTTATTCATTTTTATCCCAGTCTTCTAGGCTCACTGATTATTCATTGTCTCCCAGCTTCTAGACTCACTGCATTTTTCATTGTTCACAGTTTTAGCCATCACTGCATTATCATTGTATCCCCGTCTTCTAGACATACGCATTATTTCATTGTCTCCCATTTTAGACACACTGATTTTCTTTGTATCCCAGTCTTTTAGATAGACTGCATTATTCATTGTATCCCCGTCTTTTAGGCAACACGAAAAATTCATTGTTCCAGTCTTCTAGGCGCACTGCATTATTCTTGTACCCCCCGTTTTCTAGGCAGCACTGCATTTTTTGTGAAAATTTTTCTCCAGGGGGGGGGTAAAAAGCCCCCTTCCCTTTCCCCTTTCAGCCCTAGGGGCCCAACCCCTTGCCCCGCGGGCCACTCGAAAGGGGGGGGGGCATCTTGTTTACGCTAGGTGGGGTAAATTTTTCACAGATGCTTGCCTTTTCCAAAGGGCCCCCGCTCCTTGCAGCGGTGTGCAAAGTGTAATTTTATGAGACATACATCTCTTACTTAGCGGACAATTAAGAAAATCCTGCTCCCCTTTATTACCTGTAAAAATGTGACATTTTGTCTACGCTTAAAAACGCAAAAACAAACTTTTCTTTGCTTTATCGAGGAGGGGGGAAAAAATCAGGGCTAGGGGCACGTTTTTTTTTTTTTTTTGTGGGGGCCCCCTTTGCATGGGCCGTTTGGCGTCGGGCAGACTATCTTTGACTCTACACGAG